TATTATTAAAATTTAGGCTGTAATGGTTGTATTGATGTATAGCAACTTGAAATGCTCCCAAAAATGGCTCCACAGCATGTAAAAATATAATATAAGCTCTGGCGGACTTGGTTCTATGGTAGGTCTTAAAGGGTTAATGTCATACGCCGAACTACAGATGTGCTTTGAAAAAACATGAAAACTGAAGAACGTCTGCTGTTGTGACACACTGAGACAACTGGGGATAAAACCTCTGAGCTGCTCACCATCATCTTGTTGTCTTTAAAAGCTCCTTCATAGTACAGGCCAAACTGGGTGACCACCACTCCGGTGCCCTGCCGCTGGTGGTCCTGCCACATGCCCATGTACTTCTCTCCTCTGGAAAGCAAACAGACAGCAGCCTATTTATTCCTTCATATGTGTAATATCAGAAAGCTGCCAGTAAATTTATAGGCAAAAGAACTGTCTGAGTTGGGAATGAGCGTACTTGGTGATATCGTCAAAGACTCCATAGCCGGTCTTCTTGTCCTGCAGCCACTGACCAATGAAGACGCTGGGGGATGAGGTGTTCAGCTTGCCACTGCGCAGCATGCCGTGACCGTGCCGCACGCCCTCCTGAAAGGACCCGTCATAAACTTCACCGCTGGCATACCTGCAGTCAGATAGAGGAGGGGTGCTCTCTTACAACACAGCTGTTTCATCTATGACTGAACCTCAATCTGTTCTTTTATTGAAAAATTTCACTGCTAAAATGCTTCCTATGTCGTCTCTGATTTTAAGGAAAGCAAGCAAGAAGAACTTCTTTTATCAGGTGACAACATTTGCTAATGAGAAATCTCCCTCAAAACTGTTTTAAGTATGTTTAAATACGGTTGCTGATAGTTAGCTCATCTTCATAAGAAAGAAAGCACACACAGGGTCAAATATATATACTGCACCTAGACCAGACACGTTTTGTAGCAATTAACATTTCATTGTTTGGTTCCTTGGCATGGATCCGGCTTTTAAGCATCGTCCACAAATTTTCATGGGTTGGGGCTTTGGGAGCACCATTCCAGAAGCTTAATGCTAGCATGCTTTATCCATTTAATAAAACCAGGTTTGATGTGTGTTTGGGATCATTGTCCTGTTGGAATACCAACTGAGTCCAAGTTTCAACAGTCTAGCTGATGATTTGAGATGGAGTTGAAGAATTTGGAGGTATTCCTTCTTCATTATTCCTTCCCCTTTGTGCAATATACCAGTAATACTGGCAGCAATACAGCCCCAGAGCATGATGATATTCCCACCATGTTTGACAGCTGGGACAGTGCTCTTAGGTTTGAAAGCCTCACCTTTACTCCTCCAAACATGCGTCTTGTCATTGTGGTCAAAAAGTTCAATCTTTGTGTCGTCTGACCATAAAACTTTTCTCTAGAAGGCATTTGGCTCGTTAATGTGGGCATTTTCTTTTTTGATCAACACCCTCTCAGTCCATGGTGATGTTCTTCGCTGTGGACAGTGATGCTGGTGACTTCCACATTGTTTTGAGAATTGGTCAAACTAATGAGGCAAACATATAGAGAAACTACCAGTTGTAGTCAATCATAATCACTAATGAGAAGTTAATAGGTCTTAGCCTTATTAGGTTAAAGCATTGTAAGTGAATTCATGTATACACAGTGGGGCAAAAAAGTATTTAGTCAGCCACCGATTGTGCAAGTTCCCCCACCTAAAATGATGACAGAGGTCAGTAATTTGCACCAGAGGTACACTTCAACTGTGAGAGACAGAATGTGAAAAAAAAATCCATGAATCCACATGGTAGGATTTGTAAAGAATTTATTCGTAAATCAGGGTGGACAATAAGTATTTGGTCAATAAAAAAAATACAACTCAATACTTTGTAACATAACCTTTGTTGGCAATAACAGAGGTCAAACGTTTACTATAGGTCTTTACCAGGTTTGCACACACAGTAGCTGGTATTTTGGCCCATTCCTCCATGCAGATCTTCTCGAGAGCAGTGATGTTTTGGGGCTGTCGCCAAGCAACACGGACTTTCAACTCCCGCCACAGATTTTCTATGGGGTTGAGGTCTGGAGACTGGCTAGGCCACTCCAGGACTTTCAAATGCTTCTTACGGAGCCACTCCTTTGTTGCCCGGGCGGTGTGTTTTGGATCATTGTCATGTTGGAAGACCCAGCCTCGTTTCATCTTCAAAGTTCTCACTGATGGAAGGAGGTTTTGGCTCAAAATCTCACGATACATGGCCTCATTCATTCTGTCCTTAACACGGATCAGTCGTCCTGTCCCCTTGGCAGAAAAACAGCCCCATAGCATGATGTTTCCACCCCCATGCTTCACAGTAGGTATGGTGTTCTTGGGATGCAACTCAGTATTCTTCTTCCTCCAAACACGACGAGTTGAGTTTATACCAAAAAGTTCTACTTTGGTTTCATCTGACTACATGACATTCTCCCAATCCTCTGCTGTATCATCCATGTGCTCTCTGGCAAACTTCAGACGGGCCTGGACATGCACTGGCTTCAGCAGCGGAACACGTCTGGCACTGCGGGATTTGATTCCCTGCCGTTGTAGTGTGTTACTGATGGTGACCTTTGTTACTTTGGTCCCAGCTCTCTGCAGGTCATTCACCAGGTCCCCCCGTGTGGTTCTGGGATCTTTGCTCACCGTTCTCATGATCATTTTGACCCCACGGGATGAGATCTTGCGTGGAGCCCCAGATCGAGGGAGATTATCAGTGGTCTTGTATGTCTTCCATTTTCTGATGATTGCTCCCACAGTTGATTTTTTCACACCAAGCTGCTTGCCTATTGTAGATTCACTCTTCCCAGTCTGGTGCAGGTCTACAATACTTTTCCTGGTGTCCGTCGAAAGCTCTTTGGTCTTGGCCATGGCGGAGTTTGGAGTCTGACTGTTTGAGGCTGTGGACAGGTGTCTTTTATACAGATGATGAGTTCAAACAGGTGCCATTCATACAGGTAATGAGTGGGGGACAGAAAAGCTTCTTACAGAAGACGTTACAGGTCTGTGAGAGCCAGAGATTTTCCTTGTTTGAGGTGACCAAATACTTATTTTCCACCCTAATTTACGAATAAATTCTTTACAAATCCTACCATGTGGATTCATGGATTTTTTTTTCACATTCTGTCTCTCACAGTTGAAGTGTACCTCTGGTGCAAATTACTGACCTCTGTCATCATTTTAGGTGGGGGAACTTGCACAATCGGTGGCTGACTAAATACTTTTTTGCCCCACTGTACTTGAGCATGTATGTATACGTTAGACCGTGTGTGGATTAGAAATCCAAAATGAACTCAGAATTGTGCATTAAATCTAGCCAAACATAATTGTAATCATAATAATAGTAATTATAATAAAGGGCATGCTGCTGAAAATAATACATTTTCATGCTGCTCACCTGTATGTCCCCAGGCCGTGCATCTTGCCATCCTTCCAGTAACCTTGATAGTGGTCGTTCTTGTTCAGCGCCTTATTGGGGGCCACAAACTCACCAAAGCTGCATATACAAAAGGTGATAAATCACGCTCTCAGGCTTACACACCCACACACAAATTGAACAATTATCATAAACAACTAGGAGATTTTAGGCTCCAGCACTCACCCATCTTCTAGTCCATTCTTGAATGCCCCAGTATATATTCTCCCATCACACCATTTCAAAACACCTCTGGGAAAACAAACAAACAACACTTTCCAATTTCTCAACATATAAGTAAAATTATCTAAGTGTAAATGCAACAGTGTGAACATCCAACCTGCCGTTGGGCTTTCCAGACAGCCAGCGACCCTCATATGTCGCATCCTTCAGTCGCCCTTCCTTATAAAACGTGTACGAAGCTGTTCTGGAGATGGGAGGCTCCAACTTCTGCACTGAGCTGCCTGACGCCACGTCCTGTCCTTTTCCGCTCAGGGCCTGGTCCACCGCCTGGTTGATGGAGCGAAGCCACTTGATCTAAGAATGAACAAACAGCCCAGTTCAGAAATAGAAATTGAGTTTTTAAAAAGGTAAACATCAGCTTTTAAACAGTTACCTTCTCCATGGGAGACGAGGCGAGCAGGGTGAGCGTCTCCTCAGGAGTGATCACCTTTAACCCATACCTACACGCACAGATACCCTTTGTTTTACCACGATATAAAAACTACACAGATGCAACAGTGAGGAAAGATCAAGACATGGATATTTACAAGTTATGACAAAACAACCCTACTTCTCCCCTGAATTAAATCTCAGTAAACACTTTCCATATTATGCTCCAAGCCACTAGTTTCAAATCTTAGTGAATAATTCATGAGGTTCATTTTGTAAACTATGGTTCCTATTATGGTATAAAAGCATGATAAAGAAGAATATGCTTTATGATGAACATGCAATGCCCCTCTGTTTCTAAGTCAGATCCAGCCCTCACTGCTGATGATGAGTTACCAAGGGGTCCCTGAGCAAAATGTAAACATTCAAGTATTTCCCAGGAACAATGGAATAGTATCTCTGCTTCATGTGCCCGTGCAATTATAGTTGCATAAATATAATACAGTGCTGTGCAAAAGTCTTGAAGTCTTTAGTTCTGTTCTCTGTCAACATGATCCCAGACTGCTTCGATAATGTTGAGGTGCGGGCTCTGGGGAGGCCGATCCATGACTGATAGAGTTCCACTGTGTGTTTTTATTTCCAGGTATGCTTTTACTTTATTGGAAGTGTGTTTGGGGTCATTGTCATGTTGAAAAATTAAACTGTTGCCAATCAAATGCTTTCCAGATGGTATTGCAGGTGGGTCAAAGTCTGATGGTACTTTTTGAGTTCGTAATTCATTAATTAACAAAATCTCCAACACCACTGACTGAAATGCAGGTCCAAACCATGACAGAGCCTCTACTGTATTTTACAGACACTTACTGTTGTACCTCTCTGCTAACCTGCTCCCTGCATACTGACGATAATCTGAATCCCAAAATGTCAAATCTGTATTCATCACTCCATCAGACCTGTTATCACTGCTTTTCAATCCAGTTCTTATGTAAGGCTCTTTAAAGAGAAAGTTAAAAACTAAGTATGATCCTTTTCTTTTTTAAATGTAAATAAGAGTGGAGACTTGGTCATGGTTTGCGGATGACTAGGAGAGTTCAGGCTGTGTTGAAGAATAAAGGTGGTCACACCAAATATTGACTTTCAAGCTCGTTACAATTGTCCAAAATCTGTTTTTGCCTATTTTATTTCCATGTATTTTCAGTGCACCCATTTCCTATTTTCTTAGCAACATAGTTTCCTGGCTCAAAACTTCTGCAAAGAACTGTAAATATAATTACAAAGATAAGGTTTGTGTAATAATGACTCCAAAAGCTCCCTATGAAATTCCTTCAATTATCATAGAAAAGCTGCAAACTTACAGGCCCGTGTCCTCCTCTGGGATTGGCTCCACCCACAGCGTGGCCAAAGGGAAGATGTGATGGGTGGAGAACTGGGGGAGAAAAAATGATGTCGGGAGGATAACAAGATAAAATGGAAAAGAGAGACAAGAAGAGAAGGCATCAAAGAGAATATAACCACCGACGGTGAGTGAGAGAGACAGCGACATGAACCCAACCACTACGAATGAGCACATCAGGTGATCGACAGACTTCACCAACGACCGGGACGCTTAAAAGAGAACAAGCAAACTGGGAACGACAACAAGTCCACATTTTTATATCTGTAAACCACTGCTTGCTTTAAACACCATTTTTTTTTTTTACCCTTTCCTTATTGTTATTGTCATTTTTTAAAGACCGCCACTACAGTAACTCTGTTTCAGACTGTACTGGTAACATCAGGCATCATAATCCCGCTTTTTATGAGAATACGATGATTATAAGGCTACAATTCTACTTCTGGATCCACTGTTATGAGAATAACAGCAGAGAGAGTTTATTCTTTTTAAAGAATATTAAAAATCAACTATCTGTATTTCAGGCTTGCATAAAAACATGTTTAAGCTTAAAATAGAAACCCAAGATTAAACATAAGACTAAAGCAGTCGTTCTCACGTCTTTAAAGAGGAAGTTAATCCTTTTTCTTTTGGCTTCTCACTCGGGTCGTCTGCTTTCAGACACCACTTTGACCGTCCTGCTAACACCTGCTGCTGAAGGCGTTAAAAATGGTCAAACTTGTTTGTGCATTTCTGGCTTTTTAAAACACTGACAAGACGAGGATGATTCAAGGGAGGCGCCAGTCAGAGAGCGAGGAGGGGAATCGAGATGCACACAACAATCACAGAGATGATGAAGAGGAATAAAGAAGAATATTAAACAGAATGAAAAAAGGAAAACAAGCAAGGAGAGGGGAAAGGAAACTGCTGTGGAGAAGTGAACCAGGAACTGTTGGTTTTTTAACACTTTAAATGGAAATGGATTTGTGCTTTCAGCCAACAGCAGAAACCAAGCCTTTACCGGGAAAGGAGAACTTAACATGAAAGATTTTAGACCCCAATGTGTCAGAGCAGATTTAAAAGAGCCTTGGTTACTGTCTGTTCATCTTTCCAAGCAGAATCCCACAGGTGGGGAGCAGGCGAAGGGGAGAGGAGGGGACGGAGGCTGAGCATTAGTGGACATATTCATGTAGTTTAGGTAGCAATGCACCCGCAGGTTCTGATATTGTCTCAACGAGTGTGAAACACGAGGCAAACCGCTGTAAACACATGTGCGTTTCAAAAAGTTCTTTCAATTTTTTAGTACAAAATTTCCTCCTTTGTCTTTCCGTGCATGCACGTAAATGTTTGTAAGCAGAGAGAACATAGCTGCCTTCCACTGAGCTCATGCAACCAACTTTATCGCAACCCCCCCAAAAGAAAAAAAAAAAAAAAAAGAGAAATGATTTGCTATTCACATTATTACTCACATTAGAATATAGAAAATATATCAAATGTTTGAACTAATTTGAAGTCATTTGACTGTTTCATGAAAAATATTAGTTCATTTTGAGTTTGATGGCAGCAACAAGTCTCAAGAAAGGTGGGACGGAAACAAAAGGCTGAAAAAGTAAGTGGTACTTAAAAAAACTAAAATTAAATTTAAAAAACAGCTGGAGGAATATTTTGCTTTTTAATTAGGTTAATTGGCAGACTGGGTAAGAAGAGAGCATCTTAGAAAAGACAGCACCTCAGAAGTCAAAGTGGGGAGAGTTTCACCAATCTGCGAAAGAAATGCTTGTCTGAATTGTGAAATAATTTCAGAACAATGCTCCTCAATGTAAAATTGCAGATACTATGACCATCAGGATATTCAGAGAATCTGGAAATTCTGGAGAAATCTCTGTGCGCAATGAACAGGGCGGAAGAAGAAGAAAAAAACAAAAAAAACAAAAAAAAAACCAAAATCAGTATTACCCAAATTATTCAGTCTGATTTTAAACGGTTGTAAAGTGTTGGAACTTATTCATAATTATCTCGTTGTTTCCTGTAAAAACCTGACTTATTACCCCCTATCCTAGCGTACCTTTAAGCATTTGTAGGTAAATATCATTAAATTGTAATTTCAAGTAAAATACAGCAAAATATCTTTTAATTACAGTTGAATTAAACCCTCAGTTGCAGGTAGTTTACTGATATTTGTTGTAGCACAGGTGCATCGCTAACATAAACTCATTCAGATATTTGGGGGGGGGTCCACCTTAGTAAGTGTGTCCAACAGGGCCACATGTTGTCACACAGGGTCCCCCCACACGCGCACACGCACACGCACACACACACACACACACACACACACACACAAAAAAGAAAAACAAGGAGGAGGAGGAGGTGGGAGACAGGGTGAGTTGGGTCGCTATGCTGAGTTTTGCTGCTGGCCGCATACTTACAAGATTTTTACAAGGCGCCACGCCCTGACAGCACGGAGGCAAGCACACACAAACGCTTGAAACACACCAGGTTACAGTGTCTGAAATATGATGGCTTCATAAAGGTGAAAGAGGCGAAGAAGTGACGGGAGCGTTCAGTGTGAGCGCGTGTGTCTGTGTGGGTCTAACCTGTGCGTGGACCAAAACATCGTTGAACAGGATGAACCAGTTGACGGAGAACCTGCCGGCATTCTGCAGGGTCAGACCTTTGTTGCTGCTCTCGCAGATCAGCCGCCGGTAAGGCTTCCGCAGAGAGTCCTGATGACAAACAAAGATGCCAATCGGCATTATGGAGCATCACATAACACCTTGGGACTGAACGTGGAAGGCTTGGTGCGAGCAATGATACAGAAGATGAGGACAGAGAGTTTACCGTCATTTTTCCAGGAAAGATCTTCCAGAAGTGAACAGTGTAGTCGGCCTCTTTCCTTTTTCGCTTCAGTTGCAAGACCGAAGCTTCAAACTTGGAGCAGCTGTCCTGAAGCTTCTGATACTCAGTGGAACACTAAAAAAACCCCAAAAACAAACAAACAAAAAAAAAGTAGTTAATTTAGGCCAAAAATCTAAAACCTATATAAGATAAGGATTATTTCAAAAAAACCAAAAAAAAAACAAACATCTTTATATATTTTGTAAGTATACAAATAATTTCCTGTATTCCAGTATTTATTAAGGAGGAAATATGAAAGTTACTATAAAACAAGGAGATTAAACTGTGTAGAAATGACAACACAAGATGAAACATGATGTTAGTAAAAAGAGGAAATAACAGAATACAAACTTTGAGGTCACATGCGCTGCTGCTCGAGTTTCTTCCACCTACCACTTCGAAGCAGGTGGCCAGTTTGAGCAGCAGCCGGCTGTATTCGTGAAGGTGGCGTGCAGGGAGGTAAAAGAGCACCACCAGGAGGTCGGCTGTGGTGAGGTTCTCCTCGCCGCACTCTGACAGCTTCTGGAGTAGCTCCGGACCTTTCCCAAACAAGTCTCTACGAGAAAATCACCACCGATTTATCATAAAGGATTCACTTATTAATTTTTCTTTTCTTAAACATGTGGAGTTAATGTAGAAATTGTTTGTGTGCACTCACATGGATGGTTTGGTCAGAGCCTGGAAGCCTCCCATCACCTGGAAGTTTCCGACGGCGCTGCAGTAACTTCATACACACAAAAGCTAAAAGCGTTAAGGACTTAAACTCTTAGCAAATGTTTCAAGTTGTGTTTTGTTTTTGGACACGTACTCGTTGTAACAGTCGAGGAAAATACTGGTGTGCTCCAAGATGAGAAGGCTTTTGACCTCACGACAACGCCGCAGGCTAGCAGTGAGGCTGGTGGCGTGCTGCCCAGTCAGGTGACACAGACGGCCAAACAGGTTCGCCAGTGTCTGCAGGAGGCCGAAGATGACCTGCCCGAGGGCCGAGCTCAGAGACTCTAGAGAAGGATGGGATAGGAAAAGAAGAAAATCAAGGCTGCTGAAAACTTTTTTAAACTTTGGGAAAACCTTCGTCTTCCTGATGTGTCCTTCTTACCCAGCTCCAGCAGAGGGCGTAAGATCTGAGACTTGATGTTACACAGCTTGCAGTAAAACCTCCTCTCAGCTGACGCGAGCTCGTGGAGGCTGGCGATGAAGCCCATCACATTCCTGTCAGAGAGTGCCACGCACCGCCGCCCACCCGCGAACACACTGCTCACATAACCAAGCTGGGAAAAACACAAGAAACGCACATTCACACTCGTACCAACACACAACCTGAAGCTAAGTGCTGAGCTAAAAGCAAGAACCTGTAGCATTAAACTACGTACATTCATGCAGAAGGGCAGCAGAACAGGCTGCTGGGTGTAGCCCCCCGCCTGCTCCTCCTCTTCCTCCTCTCCTCCTCCCTGCTGATGCAGCTCCTTCTCATTACCCCCCTCCTCCTCGCCCTCCTTCACCTGCTGCCCGCTGTAGTAAATGATGGGCTGGATGCAGTCTCCGTCTGCGAGCAGGAGTGTGTGCCTCTCTCCTGCGCTCACGTCCCACACTCGGATCCCTTCTGACAGCTGGATGAGGAAAGCAGATGTTGAAAGACACCAACTTACACGATTGATGTGCATGAACGGGAAAAGAGTGGTGGTCTCCTCACCTTGGCGAGGCGGGGGACGGTGCTCGGTGACTCCATGTGTCCCAGCTGGCCAGAGCTGTTACTGCCCCATGAAAACACCTGGAAGGTATAAAGTACACACACAAACAAGAGTGAGGTCTCTGAATGAAAACACAAAATATTTATGGGCTTTTACGTGCTTTGACAGGGTTAATGTCACTGCTCTGTGCCAACAGCAGGTTTATTTTCATGCTTATTTCTGGATCCTGATTGGTCACTGTGGCGTCAGGGTTATTAATATATATCCACTTCTTAGTTTTGCATGATCAAGACATTGCTGATCTATGCTTTTGTCCTTTTAATGTCAAAACAAAAACAAAAAACCTGTTGATGTAGAACTGCTCATCCTTTTAAAATATAGTTTCTACTTCGATTCAATGACCAACCTGAGACTGAGCCGTCAGAGCGAGGGAATGGTGAGCGCCGGCTGCCACCCGCACCACCTCCTTGTTGTTCAGACTCTTGATGCAGAGCGGCTGCAGTCTGCAAAGACACACAACACACTGCTGGTCAGAGGGCAGCCATTTATATCAGAGTTAATGACATGCTATGTAAACACAGACGTGAGTTTATTGTCAAGACAACAGCAAACAAAAAATGTCCAGCCTAAAAATTTTGTATCAGAGGACAACTGATATTTTTGAGACAGATACTTGGTGATCAAACAACTGGATATATCAGCCGATATTTTCTGTTAAACAAATACATTTGCTAGGTTTAGATATGAGTTTTGATTACCATAACTTGACAACATAGTTTAAAAACAATTTTTCTTTTCATTGTCACAAGCACTGGATTATTCATTTGGCACGACTCCTCAGATCAGCTGCTTGTTGTTTGTGGCGTTCAAACCACGTGTTGCAAAGTGTCCACTAAAGGGCAAACTATGCAACATCAAACCCGTTTCTTTATTTACCTTTTTACTTTAATTTATTGGAAACGGCCAAAACTGACATATCGGCGAATAGGTAATATTGGCTGATATATTGGATAGGCTCTAATCTGTACTCATGTGTGTTTACCGAAGGCTGGTCAATGAGTTTTTATTTTCAAAGTTAACAATGTAAATCGTTGTTAAACCCCCAAAATAATAATGATAAAGACTGGTGGTGAAGTGGCTTGATTTTTTTTTATTTTTTTTTATGACCTTGAACATTTGCCTTTATGATCCAGACATCCTGTTATTACTGTGACAGGTGTGTCCAACCTGGCCAGGTTGTCTCCGTGTCCCAGCTGTCCATGCTCGCCGTGGCCCCAGCTCCACACCTCTGTCTGCAGGGTGGGCAGCACCTCGTGGTCCTCGGGGATGGCCCCTCCCAGCGGGGTGAGGGCGACCGCTCGCATTTTGGGACGACCGGCTTTCCTTAGCAGTCGCGGTGACACTGCAGGAGTCAAAAACAGAGAGGTCTGTCCACTGCACAGACATTTAAACAGCTTCAGTATTTTCCTCTGTTATTTTTCAGTTCTTAATATTCTAATTACTAGCTTCCGGCTGAAAAAGTTATAGCTGAATTTTTTACGAGATAATCAGTTTAGGGTGTAAAGTTCAGACAAACAAACAGGAGTTTAAAAAGTAAGGCAAGCCTGCACAGAGACACATCAGCCACTAAAATCATGACAAACACTATGGAAGCCCTGAGATCCAAAAGTCCAGACAGTCAACTTTCACAATCAAACTTTTTTCCTGTCCCGAGTCAAAAGGTTATTGTAGGTTACTTCTTGTATGTGTGAGGCAGGAAGTGCATCACTCCCCTGCTTCAAAACTTCTCAAGAAGGTTAGCAACATTAGCAACATGTGCAGCATTTAAGCATGTGCAGCATGCTCTGGGACATTAAAGGCTACTAGGACAAAACTGGAAAGAACACAAGCCTTTACCACAAATATCAGTCATGTAAATGTGAGCATGGTGAGATGGTGGTGAGAGCGTTGTGTAACTTAAACTGAACAAAAACAAAGAACGTGCAGACATACAGGAAGTCCGGAAGAAGGTGGTGTTCTTTGCGATCTCCAGACCGGGTGATCCAAATCAGCTGGTTGTTAGCCACATAAGAACGTCACAGTACACATTAGTGTGGCCGTGCCAATTGTGGAACAAAGCAGCTAGTCAGCTTAGTCTTTGGTGGAAACGGGATCAAATATCAGGATATCCAGACAGCAGCCACTCTTTATGAATGCAAATTCGCCAAATATCATTATCAGTTGACAGTTGATGGTTTCAACAATGCATATGGACCCAAGCCAACCCTCCATTAAGGCTGCAGATAGGCTGTTTACCTCCATGCGTCCAATGCAAAACCTTCTCCACTCTGGAGACCCACATCTTTGTCTTCTTCATTTTAATCTTCTTTCCTATACGGATCGCCACAGTGACTGCCTACATCTGACTCCATTTCTAACATCCTCCTCTGTCAAGCCAACCCTCTGCATGTCTTCCTTCTCTAAATCTGTGAATAGTCTCTGAGGTCTTCCTGTTTTTCTCAGGTTCAAATCATCTCAGCCTCTCCAACTTTTTCTAAAGCGCTGAACCTGAGCTGTCCCTGTGATGTACTCCTTGCTAATCCGTCCATCCTGGTGACTCCCAGTGAAAATTTGAACACCTTTAACCTCGTGTCTTTTTGTTAGTGACACCGTCTCCATACCTACATCATAGCAGGTCTCATTACCATCTCGTAAATCTTCTCTTTCACTCTTGTCGCTATCCTTCTGTCACAAATCAATCCTGACACTCATCTCTACCTGCTCTACCCTGCTTGTGCTCTAATTCACCATTCTTTCTCAAAGGCCTAAAGATAATCACCCACACTGCCCAAACTCTCTTGATTTGGTTGTTGGCATATAGCACGTGTAAAATGTCTGTGTGAACTCGTCTGGCAGGTTTTAGGGTTTCCTCATCAAACATTATCTATCAGGTCTTTAAAAACCGACATTCATAAGATGTCAGCTTATAAACCGATGATGAAATCTATAGCCAACCGTGTCAGGCTCTCCCAGTAAGGAAAGAAAGATATGATGACAGACAAACAGGCAGAGGGAAAGTCCATCTATCTAATTCCCACTCTGGGTCACTCAGAAGCAAAGGGCTTTCCCATAATGCACCAAACACCTTTCTCTCTAAATCACACCTAAAACCTTCATTCTGCTCTATTAAATCTGCTAAATCCTTTTGTTCTTGCTGCCGTTTTCTAGAACAGTGAAACACGCTGACAGGAGGAGGTGATCATTTTAACATGAAGCATTTACAACCCAAGCAGCATTTTGCTTTTGTTACTTTTAGAACTAAAATATAAAAATAAAAATATTTTTATTAATTTAAATTATTAATTTTATTATTTATTTATTTTATTATTCATTAAAATATTTTTTTATATTTTTCCCCAATGAAAACATTGATGTCTATGTGAGTTTTTCAGTAGTGTGTGTGTGTGCTTGGATACATCTGTTAATAATTAATAAGTGGTGCAGTGACCTTTGACTCTTATACAAGTCACACACATTAAACAGATGACTTGACTTTCTCATTTTTTAAAGTGCTCTTGCGCAACAGTTCTCCAGGCTTTCTGAGGGCCCTTCAAAGGTTTTGTTTTGCTGCTTTTTCAATCCTTTTCATTGCAGTCCTTGTCCCTGACCATTTTCAGAGGAATGTTTTTTGTTTGTTCAGCCACTTAACACTGACCTATGAATCATTCAAGTATAAAGAAGGCTCTTAAGTCAAGGGATGAACCAGTGCTGCATCTACACATAACAGACAACTCAAGATCCAACTTAAATTTTTTGTATCTTTAGGCACTTTGTTACTGTATGTTGCTATTTCTTTAATTAAATCTATGAAAAATCAGGAAGATAACAGTCTGATAGAAAACATTTTTTTTTGGCACAAAGAAGGGATTTCCTAAAAATCCTGGCATGTTGTGAAGTGGGGGTCTAATAAGGATCTACAGTAAATTAAAATTATATGAAAGTCATGCTGTTAGGAAACATTAGGAAAAATTCCATTAAAGACTTGACACAGGACCTGAGAGATGCATCTACTGTTCACTAAAGCTTCAAAAGAAATGGTCTCGGTATACTAGTAAGTGCATTTGCATATACACAAGAATACTCCTAAAAACCTTGAACAAAACAAGTCATCTGTATCTTTACAATCAATCAGGCCTGGTTCATGTAAAAAACACAAAACGTGCACTTCACAGATATTTAAAGGCAATCAGAGATGGAGTGGCTGGAGGTGACATTGTGCTGAATATGACAGAAACATCACATGGGCACGAAGCATGCCGCAACACTGAGCTCACAAGTTCAATAATGAAGCCTGAAGCGTGCACAGACTGCCATCGACCTGCACGAGCGCAAGGCGTACTTACGCAGCAGGCCATAGGAGGAGGATAAGAGGTGAACAGCGTATCTACCCTGTGAGAGCAGCCCTGGCAGCGAGAGGCGGCGTCGCAGACCCTCTGCCTCCTCTTCACGGATGTCCCCTGTGCTGGAGCTCTTCTTCCCCTGCATGGAGTCCTCCTGGCGGACACGCTCAGCAGAGTTATCGACCACTCCAGGGGATCCTCCTGACCGCGAGGCCCCTGAGGGGAGGTAGAAGTTCATCATCTTTTTCAGGGACAGGGCCTCGTAGGTGGAGGCCACCCGCCCGCCCACTGCAGAGGCGCAGGAGGCAACCAGGTTGTTGAGTGCCGAGGTGGGGGTGGAGGACATCAGTCCTCCAGTTGAGGGCTGGAAGAGAAGTGAAAGATGGTCAAAAGTTTAAAGATGTTTGGGTGGAAAATGGAAAATAAAAAGTTGTAGCTTTTTGTGACTTTTCAAATACATTTTTGAGTGAAAGCCGTCATTAGATTTTAGAGAGTGGTGGTCTCCCATCCTGATGCTTTTGTTCTGGCATTCAAACGGCTTCAAACTACACTGGCAGCGTTTTAGAATCCATAAACAAATACTGTCAAAAATTACGCAGTTATCGTAGCCACAAGCTAAATAAAACAACTAGCCTAATGGTCAACTTTTGAACTTTCCAGTTATCCTTGAACATATTGTGTGTGACGCATTGTTTCTTATTTTAACTAGAATCCATACAAATCAAAACCATGATGTGGTGATGAGCGGTGCGTCTGACTTTTCCCCACACACCTGAAAGTTTCTTCTATGTTTTCTGGAAGCTTGTTTCTGTCACTGATTTATCATCTCAAAATGTTTGCATTTTAGTCAACAGAAAGTGGAAACAAGCTTCCACCATGTTTTATACAGTCTACAGGTGAAATTGACTATGGCTGCTCAAAAAAAACCTTTGTATGCATTGGTGACAACTACTTTTTTTACACTCATTAATCACACAAATGCCACTTTTGCTGTTTTCTTTTTTTTTTTTTTTTAAATGACCACATAACTCTAAAACGTCACGAAAGGCATTCCTCAGTTATTTCTACTTCTAAAAGCAGTTTCTCCGGACTTCAAATTACAGTGAACAAGCAAATATTTAACAAAAAGCATCCAGAAACAGTTTGAGAAGTTTAAGATTAAGTTGTCAACACAGCCCCATGACCTGCTGGAGTCTGCTCCGAAACCATAGCTGTTGCTTCCTATATTGGAACAGAGGAAGTCTGAAGCAAAACTGTGGCAGCAACTTTTCTGTGTTCCAGCAGGAAGTTCCTCCACTGATGTTTCAGACCCACCCGTTTGCTGACTTGAAGCTTAAACTCATCTGCTCCATGTTTATAAAAGGGGGAGGTAAACCTTTAAGCTGAAGTCACTCCAGCAATCGTGGCGTCTGATTTTTCACGTACTATTGCATTAAAGGATAAAAGCAGTGACCAAGCCTCCTCAGTTATTTTGGTTGATATAGATCTCACGGTTATCTAACAAGACATTTCAAAATCTACTTCAAATAGATTTAAGTAGCAGAGTTAGTGAATCAAAAAAACAAAAACAACGAATGCTCGCTTTTTCTCTCTACTGTCACGCTGCTCACCAGCAGAGCGTTCAGCCCTCCGCTTGCCTGTGTGTTCGTCTGTGTGTTGTCGGACAGCTTCTTCAGGTAGTCCTTCACGGCCTGCTCGTCTGGATATGGTGAGCTCTTGGCCCCGGCAACAGCATCACTCTCAGCTCCAGATAGAGCCGAGGTGTCTGAGTCTGTGACCTGGAGCATGCCATTAACCAAAGATGCTTCCCCTTCCTCAGAGGCATGAGGTTGGGAGGGGACAGAGGTGGGGTCAGCAACTGTAGGCACTGCCGGGGACTCTGACTTTGAGGTGTAGGAGGGGAGGACAGGCTCTGATGGGGATGTTTTGAGACCTGTGGTTGGGTTGGGTGCCTCCAGCTTGCCGTCATCCTCGGTCAGCTCCACGCCAAGCGGGCAGTAGTGGCTGTCAGAGATGATGACGTGGTCCTCTTTGTCTGTCATGGTGTAGAGCAGTTCGTTACACCTCCCACATTTGTCCACATGAGGCCGGTGGCCATCGTGAGACCCCAGGCAGCGCACCAGAGCGAGGCTGTGAGATGCCCCGCAGGCCACCTGTAAAACATACCGACCTGCCAGGTGCTCCACCTTCTGAGGCTTCCACACAGGGAAGACGGCGGCATTGAGGCCCAGCTGGCAACCGCTGCCCCATGCCCACACCTCACGCTGCACCGACAGAGCCAGGGTGTGCTTCTCCCCACAAGCCAGCTCCAGCACAGGCACCGTCTGCGGGGGGACAGTGACAGTGTCCAAGTCCTGCAGGGCGACGGGAGTCGGGTTGGGAACAGTGCTAAGGCCCGACAAGCCGCACTGTCCCGCACTGTTCTCCCCCCACATGTGGACGCCGCCATCCTCCGTCACTGCCCCACTGTGAAAGCTTCCGGCTGCGACTGTGACCACCCGCTGCCCACTGAGCGCGCTCTCCAGGGTCGGTTTGGCTGGCTCTGGCACTTGACTCTGCTTCCACGGCAACTCGCCAAAGCTGTACACCTGTCCCCCTGAAGAAGATGTAACAACAGACAATCAGTGTGGGTTAACTTTGATTTATCCAAAAACATCAGAATAAAGATTTAGAAATCACAACATAAAAGCATGACTTCTGATCAATACAAACAGTAAAGACAGAATGAATTCATGAAGATGTGCTTAAGTATCGACTATGACTCTGTGACAAGTCATAAACATGTCCCTCCAAAAGAAAAAGAAGTTTCACCTTCCACCAGGAGAACGCCATGCTGCGAACCCAGAGCGACCTGGAGGACCGGCCGGGGGAGGAGCAGCCTCTCTGGGGTGATGCTGTAAGAGTAGCCCTTCCAAGAGTGGAGCAGTCCTCGCTCGCCGCCGCTGCCATCGTCCCAAGAGCTGGGGGAGAGAAATTGTAGAGATTAGCAAGAGTGAATTAGAAAGGAAGTCTAAGGATCCTTCCCAAGGAAAGGTAGGGAACTGGGTACTGTATTCTGTATTTATGACCTCATCTAACAAAACTGACGAAAAACATGACAGAGAATCAGAGGTGCGTGGGTGGCTGATAAAGCAGAGCAGAGGCAGACAAATCGCCTCAGTAGGCGTTTGATCCCCACGCCCCTCACTTCTCCTGAACAACAGATGTTTTGTCAGTGAAAGCAGAAGTGAGCACAACAACTCCATCCTTAGGCAATGTCACATGGTGATCACAGGCAGCCAGCTGAGTGGCATAATCCTGCAGAGAACTAGGAGGGGGATGACTCTGGGTAGACCTACCTCTTACTCTGGGTTTCCATCAGTGGGGTTGATACTCCTCTATCAGCATGTCAGATTCAGGACTCCTCCTATTCCTCCTCCTGCTGCCGCCGCTGCTGCTAATTGAGGTTCTGAAAGCAAAAGTACAAACAGTCAAACATTATCAGTCCAGCCACAGTGACTGAACTATGGGGGAATATCCAGAAGGAAACCCCTGAAACACAAGCCAACAGACTGGGATGTCACAATAAAAGTGCTAAGGGCACATTTTTATATATTTAACCCCTTAAAACTCCTCAGGCATCTGTTATTAGCCGCCGGTAGATAACATTAGCTGATTAGCCACAGAGCTAGTTGAAACCACAGGTGTCGCTGCTCTGTTTTCTGGATTTTAAAAATACATTTATTAAAGATACATTTCCTCACCAGCCGGCCGTCTGCGCTGCTCCTCGAAATGTTCACGTAAAGAGGTCGCTGACACACGCGGTAGTGAGCGTGTTTAGACGCTGTCTGCTGCTCATTTCTGTAATGTTGACACGCTGAAGATCGTCCAACTGTCAGGAGGTCCCACTCCTCCGCGGGAGCGAGCCGGAACGAAGAGAGCGCGCCTTAAAGGGACAGCACACATATTTTTTATAGGACGTGTTGTTGGTATCACAAGTTGGAAGATTTCAGCTTTTGGTGAGAGGAGTCGCCTTCAGATCGTATTATCTGTCATATTAGCAGGCTTTCATAGGCGGGAAAGTGTCAGGGCATCAGTAGAAAGTTCACAGATTAAAATGTAACACATTGGACGAACATAGTCAGGCAGACATGTTTATTATATCCAAAAAACTAACAGTAAATACAGCACTGTGCAAAAATGAGCCACTTCTCACGTCAGTGTATTTTTCTTGGAAAATGGGAAATAGCAATAAAGCTTAATTGAAACGTGCAGACTCTTAGGCAGCTTTGTTGCATTTCTTTAAGTAGTCTTCAGAAATAGTTCTCCAGGCTTCTCGAAGGACATTCAAAGATTTTCTTTGGATGTTTCTGCCTTTTGTTCTGTTCTCTGTCAACATGATCCCACACTGCTTCAATAATGTTGAAGTCTGGGTTCTGGGGAGGCCAGTCCGTGACTGATTGATTCACAGTGTGTTTTTCTTTCCAGGTATATTTTTATTGCATTGGCAGTATGTTTGGGATCATTGTCATGCTTTTTCCAATCGGACGCTTAAAAAATCTGAAGACAGCCTGGAGAACTATTGCTCAAGAGCACAAATTGTGGACTTTAAACCCTGGACCGCCAGGGGTTTTGCATCTTAGCCACCAGAGCACTAGATCCTCATGGTTCCTTGTGCAGGTTATCCACAACTTGAATCCAGAGTGAGGTAAAGCAATGTTTCTAACTTCGCAAGGGTAGTTTGAATCTAACTCAGTGTGGCCCCTTACCTAGAACCAATTGAGGAGACCAAGGGCAAAGTTACCTCTGACAACAGCACTTCTGGGATGCCTCTGGATGTGAGGTGTTTTGAGCATGCCCAAAAGCAGGAGCCCCTGGGGCAGACTGGCAGACTGTTTTTAAAACAGCATAGAAATAGGAATATTATGCTTTTCCTCACAAATGTCAGGTTTAAATGCCACACACAGTCCAATGGGCAAGTTTTAAAAAGAAACTACAACAGAGTGAGACCTCTTATTTGTTTCCTGCTCTCAGGCCCGGCTCAGCTGCTGCCGTTGTTGTGACAGACTCTACGGAAAGCGGAGGGCTCAGGATAGAAAGAACGCAAAGTCTAAAAAGGGGTCAACAAATACCGTTATGCAACTCTTAATGACTTTAAAACAGTGACTGGCACTATTTCACAACAGGGCCTTTATATAAACTGGCTTTTGTAATATTTATATATAAATACTGAAACATATTTAATTTCTCGATCGTGGCTCAAGAGCTGGGAGTTCGCCTTGTAATTAGAAGGTTGCCGGTTCGAGCCCTGGCTTGGACAGTCTCGGTCGTTGTGTCCTTGGGCAAGACACTTCACCCGTTGCCTACTGGTGGTGGTCAGAGGGCCCGGTGGCGCCAGTGTCCGGCAGCCTCGCCTCTCAATTTTCAATGAGAAAATGCACTAAATACAAATCCTGTAACATTAAAGTCTGTAGCCTGATCTATGGTATTGACTTCATTTTTTTTTGCTACTTTCATTTTATAAAACAAAAGAAAAACAGAAATATAAAAGAATAATCTCAAAACACAAACCAATCGCCTCTGGCACCTAAAATATAAAGGGGAGGTTGAATAAAAGGAAGTTTTAAATATCAAACAACAACCATACACGTTATTTATCCTCCCAAATCAGAATCAATCTATACACATTTGAGTATCAGAAGATAAAAGTTGGAAATGTTTCCACAAACTGATAACAAATAACACTATCAGTGTGTTTTATACAGATATGTCCAAGGAAGATTTTATTTTCAGTTGGTGAAATTTTTTCATAAACTTTTAACTATGAACTATAATTACAAAAAAAAATTGTGTTACCTGATATTTTGATGTATGTTTTGGTTTGTTTGGTTTTCAGTATTTAAATGTGTCACCCGAAGAGGATAAACAAGATAAAAGATGAATGTAGCTTCTGGGTCGGAAAAGTGAAGCCAATGTGGAAGTGCCTTAAATTGTTATTCTTACTCATGTCCAGCAAGAGGGCAAATCCTGTGGTTGCAGAAAGACTTGTGGTTGTTTGAAAGCTACACTTACTGCATGAGTTACACCTTTCTAATACTGGTTTGGACCCTCTTTGCCTTCTGAGCTGTCTCATTTCTTAATGACACAGATTCAAAAAAGTTGCTGGAAACATTCTTCACTGATTTTTGTCCATGTTGACATGGCAGCATCAAACAATTGCTGTGGATTTGTTGGCTGCACGCCCATGATGAGAATTTCCTGTTCCACCATATCCCAAAGGTGCTCTGTTGGATTGAGATCTAACAGTGATCATGTGAGACCGGACAGTGTGCGCACACTGTGTCTGAGGAGGATGTGCGGAAGTGCTTCAGGAAGGTGAACGCACGCAAAGCTACTGGTCCGGACGGGATTCGCGGCCACGTCCTCAAGTCATGCGCGGCTCAGCTGGCTGGAGTGTACACACATCTTCAGCCTTTCCCTCTCTCTGTCTGTAGTCCCAGCCTGCTTCAAAATGGCCACCATTGTCCCTGTACCCAAATCCTCCACAATCTCCTCATTGAACAACTGGCGACTGGTAGCCCTGACCCCCATCGTGAGCAAATACCATCGTTCCCTCGAAGCTGGACAGGAAACTGCAGGATCTAGGACTGAGCAGCTCCCTCTGCAGCTGGATCCTTAACTTCCTGTCTGACAGACGGCAAGCGGTCACCTCATCCCCCATCACACTGAACACTGGTGCTCCACAGGGGTGTGTACTGACCTCTCCTGTACTCACTCTATACCTACGACTGCAAGGCCACTAACAACTCCAACATCATTGTGAAGTTTGCGGATGACACTACAGTGGTGGGTCTTATCACCAACGGTGATGAGACAGCCTACAGGGAGGAGGTCAGCGCCCTGACCCACTGGTGTCAAGACAACCATCTCACCTTCAACGTCGCAAAGACAAAGGAGTTGATAGTGGACTTCCGGAGGTGCAGAGAAGTACACACCCCCATCACCATCAACGGCGCTGCTGTGGAGAGAGTGAGCAGCTTCCGGTTCCTTGGTGTACATCTGGCTGAGGATCTTACGTGGTCAGTACACATAAACAAAACGGTGAAGAAGGCGCAACAGCGCCTCTTCTTTCTCAGGAGACTGAAAAGATTCGGCATGAGCCCCCGCATCCTCAGGACCTTCTATCGTTGTGCCATTGAGAGCATCCTCACTGGATGCATCACCACCTGGTATGGCAACAGCACCCCTTACAACCGCAAAACTCTCCAGAGAGTAGTGCGGTGTTCTAAACGGCTAATTGGAGGTGAGCTTCCCTCCCTCCAGGACATCTGCAGGAAGCGGTGCCTGAGGAAAGCGGGGAGGATCATCAAGAACTCCAGTCACCCCAGCCATAAACTGTTCAGACTACTTCCATCGGGAAGAAGGTTCTGCAGCATCCAGTCCCGAACCGGCAGACTGAGAAACAGCTTCTTCCACCAGGCCATCAGACTGCTGAACCATAGACATAGACAGGCCATAGACACCTCACCTTCACTACTGGAACTTCAACATTATGCACTCCATACATTAATGCCACTTGTTTTGCACAATATCCAACTACTAACCTCTGTATATTTTATATATTTTGTTTTATTGTTTACTCTATTTAATTAGTAAAATATGTATATACACACACACACACGCACACATATACACACATGTAGATATACATATTTAGTATACACATTCACTAATATGCATACACTCTTATATTGTACATATATTTATTCATAGAATTCTCAGATTTAGCCATTCTTATATTTTGCTTGTTCTTATGTTATTGTATTTTTGCCCACCTCTGTTGCTGTGAAGCTCGCGCACAAGAATTTGACTCACATGTACTGTAACAGTGTACCTGCACACGTGATGTGACAATAAAAGTGATTTGATTTGAATGTTGCAGCAGAAATTAAAATTTATAAGATTGGAAAATGTTTTTCAAATCTTCAAATTTTGGTGAGTTGGTGTAAACTGGGAAGCGTATCTGTAACCGGAAGGTCGCCGGTTCGATCCCTGGGCTCTCTGTCCTGGTCGTTGTGTCCTTGGGCAAGACACTTTACCCTACCGCCTACTGGTGTTGGCCAGAGTGGCCGATGGCGCGAAATGGCAGCCTCGCTTCTGTCAGTCTGCCCCAGGGCAGCTGTGGCTACAACCGTAGCTTGCCTCCACCAGTGTATGAATGCGAGAGTGAATGAATAGTGGCATTGTTAAGCGCTTTGGGTGTCTTGAAAAGCGCTATATAAATCCAATCCATTATTATTATTATTATTAAACTGTAGCCTCAGTTTTGTTATTTTTAACTGACAGAAGTGGGATCTGGTGTGGTCTTCTGCTGCTGTTGAGATGCTCTACTGTATACTTTTGGTTGTGTGTTTTTTTGTGTTATTGTTGCCTTCGAATAAGCTTGAAGCAGTCTGGCCATTCTCCTTCGACCTCAGCAAGACATTTTCCCCAGGAGAACTGCTGCTCACTGGATATTTTCCCTTTTTTAGTCCATTCTCTGTAAACTCTAAAGGTTGCATGGGGAAAATCAGCAGTTTCTAAAACAGTCCAACCAACAACAATGGCAAATTCAAAGTCACTTAAATCACCTTTCATACCCTTAGGTGCCATGTGTTTGACTGATTAGAAAATTGCGTTAAGATCAGTTGAACAGGTTTACCTAATAAAGTGGCCAGTGAATGTGTGTGAAAACAGCCATCAGCTCATTCACTCTGTGACCTCAGCAAACATATTCTTGCTGACTTTACTTACTCAGTCGCTAGTTTCAAATCTCACTGAATAAATCATGATGTCATGGTCCGGGTGTGTGCCAGTGTGTCTCCCTCCGAGCCGGCGTCTCCACCCCGGGGAGGGGCCTCAGTGTTTTTGTGGGTG